TCTTTTCCAACCTAAATGATTCTATGATTCTATGATCCATTCTTCCTTCTGAGGCTGGATGTTTCTCTCTCTGAATTCTGTGGTGCTGCCATATTTAAAGAGCTGATTTAGCATTTATTTTATTTGGGCAGGAGGTAATGAAATAGGGACTTAACTAACCTTTATTTTTTTCCTGCTACTTGCTCTCTGATGTATAGCATGTTTCTCTCTGATAATCATCATCATATCTACTTAGTAGGTAAATTGTTTCTTTTTTTCACAGCAAAATAAAAAGAAGGCCAAAAAACTAAAACAAACAAACAAAAAAATATTTTCCCTCTGAGAATTTTGTGTTGCACTTAAGCATACAAGATACCTCAAATAGTATAATGTTAAAAAAATTTGTACCCTACTGAGTGAATGATTCATGCATATCATTGAGACTTTACTAGGTATTAATGCAAATGGCAGGCTGCCCACAGATACTCTACAGACAAGGATCATGCACATTTCAGGGAGGTGGAAAAAGGCCTTGAGACCCACTTTTTTATTACAGAGATAATGTAATTAAACAATTGCACAACTTGGTGGTATGTATTTTCCTGTCAAGTCTGAAGAGCATCAATTAGTATGTATAAAATTAACATATTAAAATAGGGTGTTGCAAGAGAAGTGTAAATCACCAATACTGTAATTTCCTGTACCAGATGATAACCATACTAGCACAATATTTTGTTCATATATTTGCAAGAAATGTCCTTGAAACCTGTTCATTAAATTATTTACACTCATTGCTTACTGAGCTAACTTGCTCCTTCATGAAGTTGCTCTGCCTCCTGATTATTCTGGTAGTGGCTCAGATCTGACCTGCCCACTTCCTTGCTTTAGCTAGAGGGTGTCTGGTAAGCTCTGCTTACAGAAGGAGAACCCTCTTCTGGCTGAAGTAAAATCACACTGTCTCTTTCTCCTTTCTAGTTAAAAAACACTGTTCACAAAGCTATGTTATGTTGCTGCCAAATTTTACAGAAGGACCTGTAGAAATATTTATCGTAAGCATTTGGTGCAGGATTGCACTGGAACTGCAGCAGGTTGAAACAAGATTATGACTAGGCTAGAGCTTCTTTTTAAACTAGCAAGGTTAAGGGTGCAGACAGAAACTGAGGATTTAATGACTGCTGACTTTCTGAACAGCTGGGACTTCAGTGATTGTAATGAATGCTGCCTAAAAATCTACTATGAGGGTTTTAACAAGTCTGGAGTCCTCAAGAGAAATTCGCATAAATAATCTCTCTTGCAAAAGAAGGCAAAAAGTAGGTGATCAGACTGCTTCTGTAACCTGCCACAATGTTTGTATTGTGACTCATTATGGAAGTGCAGCTGAGAAGGGTCAGTGTAACTTGCTCAATTTGCACAAATAAACTCGATCAGCAAACTGAATCTACAAATCAGTGATGGGTCACATAAATTTATCTTTCCTATATGTAACTTTTGTATGTGCTCCCTTGTTGTCTGGAGATTACCACAAGCCTAAAAAACATGAGGAAAGAAATGGGAGATGTTCCAGCAATACATTATAATACAAATCCATGCTGAAAGAAACCAGACGCACAAAAAGCTGTTATCTACATATATCACTGTTGACTGAAATTTAATTTACCTAAATCAGTGTGAGGTAAATCACAGTCAAACACACATGGCATAATGATGAACATTTGCACCTACCTCGACTGACTGACAGTCTCAACTCTGCCAGACTTTGGTCACCACCTCCATTGTTTATGCATATGAAGAAACTGAAGAAATGAGAGAGCTCATATACAATGTCAGATTGATTGCGTTAGCTTGAATTATTGTAGTGCCTGAATTAATCCAAGCTAGTTGGCTTTGTGGTGGAATGGATGTGGAGCATTCCCACAGGCAGTTACAGCTCCACCTGTGCATAGATAATCCCTTCCAGCTACGGATAGTAAACCTGTGTTCTTGCGCTCTGTCACATAAAAGGTCCTTGGCTTTTTTGACAGGTGATACTGAAGATTGCATTCAAATGCAGAATTCAGTCTAGGCATTCTGCTTTTTCATCTTGATCCTGAAATACCATTGCACAGTGTGGCTTAATTATATGAAGAAGTCAATGTGAACATCCTGAATCAGTGGGACAATTTTGAAGTAGGCAAGAGGTTTGAAGTCATACACATGCATATGTACTAATTAAAGTAGGATGGAGGTCATGCACAAACTATTAATCATGATGTGTGTTTAAGGAGCAGACATTTGTCCCTTATTTGTCATCTGTGGTTTTATTTCAGACATGTTAAATGGGAAAAAAAAACATTTCTTCTACTCACTGGTGTTGAGAAGCTATTGTAATATGATTCTCAGCTTGCTAAACTTCAAGTGGCATGCTTCATGCTTTATGGTGGTTGCTTAATAAACACCTGTGTGTGTGACCACACTCATCCCTGTTGTAAACATGTTAGCTCAGTTACTCCAATTAAATAATGCTTGCATTCACATATGCTGAATTTTGGACTTTGAATAGGTTGTTTATGGTCTTTTTTGCTTGTTATGTATATTCTCTCACAGAATTGGTTGAAGTTTTATTGATGAGTTTTATATCCTTCTATATCTGCTTACTAAATTTGTATCTTCATAAGACTCAATTCAACATTGCAACCAGTGTTTATTTTATTTTTCACACTCTCACCTTTCTGCTTGGGAATTAATTTTCTTAGTACTTTAAAAATTGTTGCTCAGTGTTCATAATAGCAAAAGTAACACCAGGAGAAAGTGGAATAAGGTTAGCTTTTGTGAAGAGACTTCTCAGAATTCAAAACAAATTATTATTTGTACATTGATTGTTAGATTTTGTTGTTGTTGTTAAATCTCAAATTAATTAATGGAATTCATTATTCCATGGAAAACTAAGGTAATCTGCCTTTTAAAACAGAAAGGGGAGGTAGGCATAGCTGGATAACCATAAAGCTGTTTATCCCGAATGACACGGGAAATAGAAGAAATTGAATGGGAAAGTGGAAAGCTGTCTCTGACACACCCTGGAAAAGGAAAACACCAGTAGCATTAATACTCTTAAACCGTAGTGGTCACGCACACCTGTTTGGTGTGGAAAGATTCTACTGGTTTGAAATTCTGTTTGTAAAATGGGTGATAGAGATGGGTATGGCAGTGCTTAACAACAGATGGAATTGGCTCCGGTGCCCATTTTGTCTAACCTCTTCATGTGTTAATTCTCTTCTGCAAGACTGCTCATATGCTGAACTTCTGAGTGGCTTTCCATGGGGTACCATATTTTGCTATTGTTTCCATCCAGTTTTCATTTATTGTGGAATATCTGTCCAAAATTATACTGCTTTAGAAACACAGATTCCATAATATCTAACCCTAGATCAGTGTTTGACTCCTGCTTGAGATCCTGTGCAGAGCAGAGCTTCTGAGCTGAGTGACTTCAGTAGCTCCCTGAATCCATTAACCTGTAAGTTTAACATTTTTGTGTCTTGTAGTGACTTATTTCATTGTGCTCTGGCTAAAAGATTTGTCTTGAAGGTATTACCTTGTTATTCAGGCTCATTCATTTCTTTTCCTTTTACTAGTGGGCTCTTTACAGCACACAACATAAAGGTGTTGAGGAAAAAATGAAATTAAAAATAAACTTAGGAGTATTTTTTCCTCAGACCACAATTTATGGTTACCATTAATATCTCTGCAGACTTCCTGTAGTAAAAAGAAGAAGCAGCAGCAGCAGCATGTGACCCCAAGAATCTAAAAGAAAGTAATCTGCAGAAAGGAACTAGAGCTGCAGACAGCTTTGACATTAAAAGGATATATTGAACAGAATTTTTAGCTTTGTCATTTCTGGAGGGGAAGGGGACCCACTGTGTTTGGAGCAAACTGGAAGCTATGTCTCAAGAACGTGCAGCAGGAAAACACAAGTCCCTTCTGCCTGTAGTCCAAGTCCAAGTATGACTTTGGTCCAAAAGCAAAGTGACCAGGCTGGGGACAGCTAATGCACTATTTTGGGCAACTGCCAGGAAGTGATAATTGTCTTTGTTAGCAGCCCTGGTCGTTAAGAGTTTTATTTTAAAACCAATAACCTAGTCAAGTTCTTTTTTAAAAACACTGCATATATAAAAATAACATGAATATTTGTATCCTTCCTGGGGACCTGCACTATTGTGATTATACAAGCTAAGCAAAAAGATATAAAAGCTACCCTGTAATGAGATTTTCTTTTTTGCTCTTTTGTCACAATTTTTCCTCCGTACACTACAAGTTTGTGCTGAGGACCGATACACATTCACACACGCCCCTTCCCTGTGGTGGTGATGTGCTCAACCTTTAACTCAAAGAGCAGTGGTAGAAACTGTTCTGAAATACCTATATTAGCTATGATACACTCTGTTTAGATTATTTCTGAAATGTTCCTGTTACTGTGCATAAAGAACAGAGCTGTCAAACTTGATGAGATTTTATTGTGTTTAGTGCCTTCAGTTCAACCATCTTTGAACCAAGTTGTTTACTCCAACAGTTACATGGGGTGCAGCTACGTAAGCGAGTACTGACTAATGTGATTGTGTCTGGGCTAAAGCAGGTAAGAGGCAAGAAATGTTGTAGTGACATTTTTGTGTTATCAAGCAGATGACGAAGTGAACCACATTAAAGAAAGATGATACTTGGTGGACTACTTTTTAATGTTTGCTTTAGGGAAAGCACACTCTTGATATGGGAGACTTGGGACGACATGCTAGCTTGGAGGAGGAGGACGCAAGTACACAGGAATGCAAAGAATTACTCCCAGTAAGGCTATTCCACAGAAATGCTGAAACTGTGGGTGTGTTTAGAGCAAAAAATTATTTCCTGTGAACTGAATCTGAAATACATGAGAGGTCTACTTTATCTAAAAGGGACAGTTACATTAGAGGCATATTGGTGCTGGCTCTGTTAAACATTTTCTTAATCAGCCTTTTGGGAAATTTGCTGTCTCCAAGCTTAACTATATTCAGCAAGTTGCTGAAGTCTGTAGTTGCATTTGAGAAGTTGGGTAGTTTGCTGCTTTCCTGACAGTCTAGTTGCTGAGCAGATGGTTTATAGCCATTTATGGGTAGGAGTGGAGGAACTGGCTTGAGCAGGAGGGCTACCAAATGGTCAATCTGTTTTCAGAACCTCACATCTGAAACAATGATAGATGGGTATTAGTGTTAAAACTGTGAATGGTACAGCTATTTTGCTCAGTACCAGGTTAGCTATGTTAAATCCTGTGATACTGGATTGAGGATAATTCAGAAGTCATTCTGGGGACTGGGGAAGGAGACTGGGAATACATACGAGAGTTACATAGACAGTATATTACTAGCAAAGCTTGAAATACCTTTGTGTTGGGTTTGTCCTGGCCAGTAACTAAGCACCCACCAGCTGCTCACTCACTTCCCTCTGCCCCTCCAGTGGGATGGAGGAGGGAACTGGAAGAACAAAAGTGAGAAAAAGTCATGGGTTATAATAAAGACAGTTTAATAAGCGAAGGAAAGAAAGAAAAAAAAACCAAGTGATGCAAAGTCAGTCACTAGCCATCTTCCACCAGTAGACCAATGCCCAGTCAGTCTCCAAGCAATGGCTATATTGGAAAGACCAAACCCATGGCTTTTATTGCTGAGCACAACATTATATGGCAGGGAATATCCCTTTGGTCAGTTCTGGACAACTGTCCCAGCTCTGTCTTCTCCAAACATCTTTCCCAGCCCCAGCCCACTCACTGAGGCTGCAGAGTGAGAAAGAGAAAAGGCCTTGGTGCTGTGCAATCACTGTTCAGCAACAGCTGAAACACTGGTATGCTATTAACACTGGTTTAGTCAAAGATACAGAACACAACACCATAATGGTGCTGAAGCATCCCAGCCAGAGCCAGTACAATCTTCTGCAGTATCTAACAGAAAAAAAAATACATTAAAATAACTTTTTGAACAACTGTACCAGGTCAGTGTAGTTTAGGATATTCAGAAGATGGCATCTGAGTGTGGAAAGAACCATGTCCAGATTATACTCTTGGCGAAACAAGATACAGTCTTTGCTTCCTGAGAGTACTGATTCCAGTCCTTTGTGGATGAACAATACAGGTGCTATATTTCTGTATAATAATTGTGGACTTGGAGAACAGCATAGAATGTCTGTTGTCTGGCATAACAGATCTTATTTGTTTTCTTCCTTATTTCTCAGTTGAGTAAAGACAATCAAATTTTCAATATACTGTGTTGTCTTTTTTGAATTAATAATCTGAAAGTTAAGATGTTAGTGCCCTATGGAAGAAAAGCATGTAATTTATGTCTATATGTCAGACACTATGGCACACATATTTTTGTAGAGAAGTACACTCAAATTATGTATAAGGGAAAGTATTTTCCAAATACGTGTATCAAAGCAGTGACAAATCTGCATGTACTATTGTTGATTAGTACAATTAAAGGATGTAAGAACATGTGATAACATATGACACAAATTACATGCTAGACATGGTATACCTATTAGTTAATCTGAAATGACTCGTGTCTTTTTTCCAGTGGTTTTAAGCATGCGTGCCCTATTGGCACTATGGCAAAAGTTCATGTAGGAGAAGGTCTTACTCTGGAAGTGATAAGACTGGAAGTGTGTCTGTTGTGAAGTCAAACATTTAGTAGTGCTGAGGAGCTGTTGGAAAGGGCTGCAGAGTTGATTAGGTCACAAACTAGCATGAAAACGTGAAGTCAGTTAACTAAGTATATCTGTGAAATGCAGCACTGTAATATTCCACTGAGCTTTACCATTAACACTTCTGTGTGTATGCATCAACCATCACAACTAAGTTGGAAAGTAGGACTTTGTGCTTAATGTGTATTTTTTATTTAGTTATTTTTTGCAAATTGTTGCTCTTTATGTTAATCTATAATAAGTGATTGACTGTGAACTCATCACCTTCATCTAAGATAGGTTTAAGTAACTTGAAATTTACAGTTTCAGTAAGTTCAATTATTCAAACATATATACAGCAGCTTGCAACATAAACTCAGGTGTAGTGTGAATAAAAGTTAAAAGTCCACAAGCCTTTTTCCAAATGATGCACATTTGAAAATTCTAGGTTACCCAAGTAGCCATAATAAGGATAATTTCAGGTGAATGCTTAGCTGCCTGGATTTTCTAAGTAGCTTAGAGTAATTGTAAATGGAAATGGGTGTGTGTCTTGCTTCTCTGAATAATGAAAAGCTGTCCCCAGGAGTTGTCATAGCAGCTGTGTTTGTCATCTAAATAGCATTGTACTAGGGTGTGTACAAGTTGTCATATACTAGCATTCCTGTTAATGGACTGCTTATGTAGCCTGATCAGGTTCCCACTTGAACTTCATTGAAAGTATTAGTATAGCAATACTTCTACTTTTTTTTTTTTAACTAATTATTTCAATAGATTTGTCATAGATGTAAAAGGTGGATTTTTTTGGTGTTTTTTTTAACCCATTCAGTGCCTCCAGCCTGCTATCTGGAGTTTGATTTTGAAGAAAATTAGTAATTTTTTTAATCACTTTTGCCTTGTAGGTTAATCTCCGAGCCACTGATGTGAAGCTTATGCGCCAGCTACTCATCATCAATGAAAGTATTGAATCAATCAAGTGGATGATTGAAGAGAAGGCCATTGCCAGCAGAGGTAGCAGTTTGAGTGGCAGCCTGTGCAGCTTGCTGGAAAGTCAGGAGACATCCCTCCATGGCAGCTGTAACAGTTTACAAGACTGTAGTGATGGACTGGATGGAATATCAGTGGGGAGTTATTTGGACACCTTAGTGGATGATGTCCCTGGTCACCAAACCCCTTCAGATATGGACCAGTTCAGTGATTCTTCTATTATGGAGGACTCACAGCCTCTGCAAAAGCATCCCAAAATTGATTCTGATGAGTACTACTGTTTTGGTTAATAAAAACAAGTTCCAGTGGGACGTAAATGCACTTGTACTTACCCTTTTTCTTTGCTGCTATTTTATTTCATGTGCAAAATCCCCAAACTTCTCTTGGAAGGAAAACATAATATGATACTTTGATTCCACTTCATAACTTTTCTGTTGCTTCTACTAAATTTTCTCCTTGGTGAGTTGGGCTTTCCTCCTCCTCACCTTTTCTTTTTCTTAATTTATTGTTGCAATTTTTCTTTTTTTGTTTTATTTTTTTACAATGCTGTATTTGCAGGTCTGTAAAAGTGGTGAAGGAAAAGCTTTATCTTTAAAATGAGACATCAGGGAATGAGAGCAACAATTTTGTATTTGTCAGCAATAAAATATCCTCTGATAAATATATGTTGTGGTAAATTTTCTTGATGACCAGGTGGCCTTTCCAAAGACACTGTTCTTATTGAGCCTTAAATCTGAATCTCAAAAATACCTCTACAAAATATTTTTCCTTTTGTAAGCAATGATATTTGATTCTGTTAAACTGTCTTCACTTGGAATATAAAGTATCCTAAACTTCTCTGTGTGGGATTTCTTTATTCTTGAATGTTCTCATCCTTCTTGTCTAATTATGATTTTAAATGCTGGGCTTCATTGGTGTCTTGCAGTGATGCATTCCAATACTGGAAGCTCTGCATAAGAGTATATTTCATTTTTGTGCTTCATACCTTTGATTTCATTGAACTTGCTGTTTTATAGGCACAGTCTAGATCTGTAAAAAAATGAAACAGGCATCCCACATTAAAAATATCCAATTCTAATAGTTTCGATACTGAGCCAAAATTCCTCAGCAGGGTTACTCTTAAAATGTAATTTAAAGTCTTGACAATTTTTACCTTGAAATTTTGAGGGATTTAGAGGGCACTGGTGAAACATTTTACAGGAGGCAACATGTTAGAAGGCACGTCCTGATTTGCTTTTGTATGCACACCCTCATGCTTAACAAGTTTACTTTGTTTTTACTAAATATTATTACTAAAAGAAAGTGTTGCCCTGTTGTCTTTTTGTTTCCTGTTTTACAAATACGAGTGTGCTTTAACCTTTTTGTGCCTACTGATATAGTTGAGAGCTATGGCTAATCATTTATACTGGAAGCATCTGAGAAGAAAAACAGAAACAAACTGCTGTGTGCAAAGTCTCTGGCTTTGAGACTCTCCTGGCCCATGCTTTTATGCAGAAGATTAGGAGGCAGATTCTTCTTTTAATTGCTTCAGAATCATAACGAAACAAGTTTTTATCCTTCTACAGTAAATTAAAAATAAGAATAAAAGAAATAGAATTGGACACTCTAACAGATTAATGAATGTGTATTTCCAGCTTACAGATAGTGAAAGAGGTGTTGATACTTACACATCATCTAAAAGTGTCCTGTCTTGCCATGTCTGTAATTCCTACTGCCAGTAAAGCATGAAATTCCCTCACCAAAGAAACTAATGTTTGCCAAATATTATACAGGCTCCCTATTTAAAATACATTTTACACATTCCGAAGGAAAAAAACTAGTATATGCAGCAGTCAGTATATATTGGTTTGGTTTATTCTGAGATAAAGTAATAGTCCGATGAGGTTCTGCTCTTCCAAGCCATGTTTCCATGGACTTGTCTTGTCCAGCCTTGTTCAACATCGAATGTGGAGAAAAGGTAAAAACTCAAGAAATTGAAAGTGGCAATTTGTGCTTTGTGGTTAGCTCCATTACTTCTCACTACAGTAGATGTCTGTGTCCCTCAAAATTAAAAACCAAGATATGTATATTTTGCTTTGGACATCATGATTTATTCAAACAGAATGGCGGTGAAAAAATGTGTGGTTACCAAGAATGAGGCTTCTCAGTTCATCTTCTGAGATCAACCAGGGTACTGCAGATAGCTTGAACGAAAACAGAGGCAAGCCCTCAAATGACAGTGCTGTGCTGATTTAATGCTTTTAGGTTTTTTAATTCCTTCCCCAGCTTATGGCTCCTGGACATAGTTTTTAAAAAAAGTTTGAAGAAAAAATCTTGGAAAAAAATATTTCTTGGTGTATCGTTAAATAGAACATCAACTGTCAATTCAAAATAGGTTTTATTACTTTACTTTAAATTATTTTAATCTAGGGAACAGAACCAACTCCCTGGTGTAAAACTGTGACTCTTTTGAAAGTTTTTCTACCTTTATTGCTTGGCATGGAAGTTAAACATCAGGATGTATACTCCCTCTGAATGTAATGAATATGCAATATATACAGCCTTTTCTTCAACTGAGATTTTGGGCTGTAGGCCAAGATGCACATAAAATTTTTCTACTATGAAGGAAATTCAAAAATATTCTTAGCATACCTTCTCAAATATCCCCGAGAGTTATGCTGAAATTACTTCAAGGAAAATACAGGCTGTAGCTGTCACCCACCCACTCACAGCTGTAATACTGGATAAAGAGTAATTACATCAGTGATAGATTTATCATATTATCATTAAAAAGTTAATTTAAATGGCAATCAAAGCTGGCAGAAAAAAGCCTACTACTAGAAGTGGTGAAATAAAAACTGTATGTGATTAGAAGCTTTTATTCCTGTATGTCTCTTGACTGGAAATGGAGAAAGAGCACAAATGACAAAATAGAGAGGCCAGGATACTGTTAGAAAGAAACAAGACTTTCCAGGTGTTGTGTTTCTCATATCTAGGAACATGAACACCTTGGGTTTTGTTTTTGAAGCATAAAAACTTCAAAGATTTGGGTTTGGCTTAGATTCCTTAATTGCATTAACAGAACTTTATAGCCAAAAGATAGTAATTTACTCTGACTTCCTGCTTAAGACAGACCTTGAAATTTTATTATCTCCTAAAATGAATCCAGTAACTTACAACTGGACTACAACTTCACTATTTAGACAATGGAAAATGTTCAATGTTCCTTAAAAAAATATTCCCATTGGGTAATTAATTTTGGTTTTAAACAGTTTACATATTTCCTCCAGCTTCCTCTTGACTTGGTCAACCTTGGTCTTGCAAAATCTTTGTCTAGTAAAAAGGGATCTGGATGGCCTCTTCTAGCATTTTGGAGAGCTGGGTTCTTTTTTCCCTTGGGTTTCCTTGTAATTTTTTTTCTGATTTACAGAACTGAAAAACAAAATTCAGTAGTATAGGGCAGAGTATCTGAAAGCACTTTACAGAGCTATGTCTGTTTCAAATGGATAAAACCAACAGAATTTAAAAAGTTGAAAACCAGAAAATATAAATCATTTATTCTCTGTTATTTTCTATCATCTTGGCTCTTCTGTTGCTTAGCTTGCTTCCAGGCATGACAAACAATTTCAAGACAATTTGTGAAATCAGAGACAACAAGCAACACCCAGTCCATTCTTATTTCCATACTGCTGAAGTTTTGTCTTTGAAAGGCAGTCCACTATGTAAGCTGTGTAATACAGAGACAATAAGGGATAGTCAAAAAGATAGATTTAGTATGCTTTCTGTTTTAAAATAACTGTTCCCTGCCAATAATAGGAACCAGTGGGTAAATGGATGTGCTCTGGTTCACAAACAGACTTGGGGGGGGGCCGGGGGGAGGGGTGTGCATCTAGAGGGGGAAACTCAAACTTTCACATCTGAAAACTGTGATGCTTTAAAGATTCTGCTAACACACTGCAGCTGTGAAGTTTTCTTGCACTTTCAAGAGCAATTAAAATTCTTTGAAATCTCTCTCTGCCAGTGGCTGGGTCTAGTATTGGTCTCAAGGTTGCATGACTGTGTCTCCACAAATGCTGTGAGAGGATGAAGGACCAAGCAGGAGCTCTTGGATCCATCAGTAGGCCAGAAACGTTGTAGTAGGGCGCTGAGGACAAAACAGCATCTCTGCCTTTGGAAGGTGCAGTACCATTGTCCCGCCAATTGAAACAGGATGATAAAAAAAGGCAGAAATCTGGTGTATCTTGTTAAAATGTGCCCTGACTTTTAACGAGAGTGGTAAGATGATGGAATTACTGCCAAAATGTTTGAAAGTTTGAAGTTCCAAAATCTTTCTCCTCATTTCCCTTCAAAAAAGAGAACTGGTTAGTCAAGGTGGGTGAAGTGCAGTCTGACATAATGTCTAGTTACATCATGTAGCTGCATCTCATATAACCCTATATAATCCACTGAGAAACTTTGGCAGGTTTGTTTAGGAATCTTAAGCAGTTACGAAGCTGTCTAAAAAGCCTGTGCTAGTATTTTTCACGTTGCCAACACTTCTTCTGAACCAAGTCTGAAAGATGGGTCTTTGATATAGAGAATTAACATATACCCAATAAACATGGGATCAGTAGAAAGCATCCATCACCTTACAGCAAAGGAGGCTTTGTTTCACTTTAAATGTGCTTTGTTACAGCAAGTTTATCTTTCTCAGAATAGCTATGAATTTACTATAGAAACAGTGTAAGAGCATCCTGCCCTGAAACAAATAGAAGCTTTTCCCTTACCTAAATTAAAAAGACATTAATGCTGACTGCACTTGATCTTTCCATTGGTCAGAGATTAAATTTCTCTACTAAGTATATCTAGAATGAAAATAAAACAATTTCTTTTTTTTTCCCCATGGAATTTTCTAAGCTCTGGCATACCACTAATAAGATAAACAATCTGTATAAAGTCTTTTTAAAAGCATGCCCTTCCAGCAAACATGTCTGGTCTTCAGGACTGACACTTCCCTATAGTCTAGCTTGGTTTTGTTGGCTCAGTCCCGAAAGAAACATGTTTGAAAAGATATGTCTTTTAGTTACTATTGCGGGATCACATGATACAAATGTCTGAGAATAAATATTGGTAACACAGTTTATCTTCCCTCCCCCCCCCAAAAAAAAATGGGTACAGAAACTATGTTGGTATTCCTGAGTAAATTTTTTTTTTTAACCCCATTTTTGTCTGACATCCATATGGAGAAAAAGCAGCAGATTGAGCCCAAAGGTCTGAAATCATGCTTTTACCTGTGGACTGTAGAGCACACTTATCCTCAGTGCAAACTTGTCAGCACTGCTGGGTCCAAAATTTTGTAGCTAACAGCTATGACATTATAATACATTGAAACCCTTTCATATAGTCACTGTATTGATCATCTGGAAGCCTGTGAGACCACTGAAACCTTTTTAATTTAGAAAGGATACTGCTTTGATTTTGTGAAGGAAAATGTTCTTGTTAGAACAGTGTAAATTTTGGTCTATGAATTATGAATTCAAAGGACAAAGTACACAATAAAATTAAAAATCTTTTGTGTTAGGTCTATCTTGTAGCAGACTGTGTTTCTCTTCAAAGTTGTTGGAGACATTGTTTCTCTTAATTTTTGTTATACCACTTGGAAATAAAAAGCAGTTTACATTTTTTCAGACTGCATTA